AAAAAGGAGGGAACCCTAGCATGAGAAAGCTAGGGGAACACCGGCTTTTTTGCTGCCATTTTGCCGCCGTTCCCTTCCTCCTCTTACTTTCTCTTGTACACAGTGGGAAAAAAACCTAGGTGACAAATACCTCCCCTTGAGTCTCCTCTTCTCTTGTGAAGCTACCTTCTTCTTTTTCTGCTGCTTCTCTTGTAACTAGATCTTAAAGTATATGGCCGTTGCAACTTGACATGGTTGGGCGGTTATTGGGTTGGAGAACTATTAATAGACAAAGCAGCTACTCTTCTTAAGAAGTTGATATAGCAGTTGAGAATATCTAATAACTCAGATGCTCACAGAGATTTTTTTCCTTTTTTTTTTTTTTTTATATTAAGTGCCAACAAAGTTGTTAATAATGATTAGTTATGATAATTATATGCTAATTATACCTAACCATAATGGTCAATTGAAAGAATCAAAGCCAAAATACACCATTGATCTAACAACTCTTTATATTAAAGTTTATGGGCCGTCATGACTATTATATATGAATTACAATCATACTTCTATTCCAATAAGGGATTTGGGGTATTATAGTAATGGTTGTCCTTATTGGGGTACTATAGTAATAGTTGTATGTAAATTCATCCCGAGTCAATTAAAAGAAGGTTTTTTTAATGCATGCAATTAAATGCACCTTTTAGCTCTAAATTTGTATTGAGAAATAAACATTAATTTTTAACTTATCAAGTATCCAATTAAATTTACGTTAAATGTCAATTTTGATCCCTAAATTTTGACATTTTGCACAATTTTTGTCCTTTAATTTTTTATGCTTTTTTTAGTTCCTCAACTATGAAAAATGTACTTTTTTAGTTTTTCTGTTCAAATATACACATTTTTAATCTACAAACTTTTATGTTGAAGAACAAAAAATATGCACATTTGAATAGATTTAACGAACTAATTGACAGAAAGACTAAAAAATTGTATTTTTCATAGTTGAAGGATTAAAAAGTGCATAAAAAATTTGAGAGATAAAAATTGTACAAATAAAATTAACATTTAGCTTTAAATTTATCCAAGTGAGAATGGTAATAAAATTAATATAAATTTTGTATTTTCTTTTCATACAATCCCAAGCGTATACAATATAGATGAAAAAAAGAATTAAAAAGCAAACCAATGGTTCCAATAATAGAAATTCTTATTGTACTCCCCAATTCAAACCATTCACACACACATTATAGAAAAGGAAAAGCAAATGATGGAAAAGGAAAAAAGGGAAAAGGAAAGTGTTTCAATTTTCTATTTTTTTGTTTTTGAAGTTCTTTGGGTGATAAATGGATTGGTCATTCTTATGATGCATCTTACAAAATTTTCTACTTCTCACACGTTAATAGTCATTAACGTGTGGAAAGTTTTTTTGAAGTTCTTTGGGTAATAAATGATGTATCTTACAAAATTTTCTACTTTCCACATGTTAATAGTCATTAACGTGTGAAAAGATTTTTTTGAAATTCTTTGGGTGATGAATGGATTGGCCATTCTTATGACACATCTTACAAAATTTTCTACTTTCCACACGTTAATAGTCATTAACGTGTGGAAAGTTTTTTTTAAGTTCTTTGGGTGATAATGATGCATCTTACAAAATTTTCTACTTTCCACATGTTAATAGTCATTAACGTGTGGAAAGATTTTTTTGAAATTCTTTGGGTGATGAATGGATTGGCTATTCTTATGACACATCTTACAAAATTTTCTACTTTCCACACGTTAATAGTCATTAACGTGTGGAAAGTTTTTTTGAAGTTCTTTGGGTTATAATGATGCATCTTACAAAATTTTCTACTTTCCACATGCTAATAGTCATTAACGTGTGGAAAGTTTTTTTGAAATTCTTTGGGTGATGAATGAATTGGCTATTCTTAGGACGCATCTTACAAAATTTTCTACTTTCCACACGTTATCATTAACGTGTGGAAAGTAAAACATTTACGACTTTGTGTTTAATTAATAGATTGATCATTTATAATTTTTTTGGTTTTTTAAAAATTAAACTATATGCAATTATAGTGAAATTAAGAAAGAGATTCCTATCCATCTATTACATATTGATCTTTCCATGTTACTTTCCTAGCATGGTGAATAGAGATATGAAATTTATAAGTTAAGGACACTTTGATAGTTATTTACAATGTGAGGTTAAGTGTGCCTTTACTTCAAAATGAATTGAATACCACATTCCGCTTTAACTATTTACTTTATCCTGCCCTTTTTCTTTTTCATTTGTTTTTTGTTTCTTTTTTCTTTTCTTTTCTTTTCTTTTTGTTTAGTTATATCCTAATAACTGAGTCTTTAGCTTTAATGTTTAAATTCTCCATTCAGTGCTCTATACACTATAAAAATGAAAACCAGTAATGGTATAGAATAATATACCTCTGGCATTTTGATATTGAAGTCCTCAGCCAATAAATGATGCATGGGCACGGACATCATATACTCCCTCTGCTCTCATTACAATATAGCCAATTTTCTTCTGGATCCTCCTGTTAATACAATTAGCAGCAAATGCATCTAATAAGTATCACTTGAGAATCATTATATATATATATATATAACATATCACTTAAGAATCAGGCAGAGCTCAACCTTGTAATGCTAATTGATATGAGACCTATAGAGTAAAGAAATATCTACATGACGTGAGACGTGATGTGAAATTCTTTGGTCACATGGAAAATGCAGAAAAAATACATGCCAGACTAAAAGAGACCAGAAACTGGAAATAAAGTAAAATCTAGATCAAATGATCTGTAGAAAATTGCCAGCACAAGTACAACACCAATTTGTTTTGGACTTCATCAACAGTTTTCTTAGCATCCCCTTGCTGAGGAATAATAGAATGCAATATCTAAAGTCATCTATATAATTAAAAAACTTGCCTCCAATAACAGATTCAATAATAGAACATTAAGGTCATTAATGATGTAATTAGGCTTACCTTTGAATCATTTTCATCAAAGATTTCTCCAACAATCTCCTCAACCACATCTTCAAAGGTTACCATCTTCTCCATCAAAAAATCAGTACATAAATATATAAAATCAATTAGTCAATAAAATGAGCGCAAATACTGTTAAATAAGCAATCCAAAAGAGAGAAAACCTATGCATCGTAAGTTCTAGACTTTTTGTGTTCTCATGCTGCATATTCCACTCTTATCTGAACTTTAGAAGAAAAATGATTTCAAAACATATGAGAGAGTATTTGAGTTTCATCTACAGGGAACTCCTATTTGTTTCGTTTACCATGTTGAACCTGAAATAAATGTTACGTGCCAAAGTTTGGAAGTTGTAAAATTTGAGTAACATACTAATACTAGGTGCAAGCTCATGAGTTAAGGTATTGAGGGGTCATACTAACCATTTTAGATTTTAAGCTGTCAGCTTATTATCCTGGTTGACCTTTTACCATCATACGTTCCATTGAGTTTATGTTATGGCATTTGGATGCCAACAAACAATGAACAAATACTACTTTAAGTGGGCACAAAGAACATGCTAATAAAGAATAAGGTTTTGTCTTTAGGACTTCTAGCTCCAACTGAAAAAATTTTGTTTACTTTTTTAGCCTCTTAGCAGGGAAAGCATGGTCAGCATCT